ATATAACTTATTAAAATTAAAAATTTTTCAACGCTCATTTAATAGGCAGCAGTTGACCATGAATTATATATCATTAGTGCGTACAATTGATAACCAGGGTGTACCCACGACGCTAGGGTTTTGCGAAATTCACATCTTTATCATAAAGCAGAGGCAGGGAAACTGTTTATCCAAGCGCACCATCAACTAACCTACAAGGCATACTCACTAAGGAACTGGCTGATTTCACCATTTAAAGATTATGGACACTTAAGGCCAGAGGTAATTCGATTTATCAAAACACTTTCGCATGACACTGAGTGGAGAGAGCAATTGGTCTGTTCAAGACTAGATTCCGAATCCTCAGTCATGTTCCACTAATGAACCCCGAGGTTATTACCAAATTAATAATTGTTACATGTATATTGCATATTATGTGCATTATGAACAGTGACGATGTTGAACAACAGATCGATGTAGAACTAAATGAAGATGTTCATGCAAACCTGTGCCAAAACGTATTTCAAGATTGACTTGGTGGAATGTGCGCAGAACGGAACTGGTACAGGCTCTACAATTTTAAACGCTACAAATGTCCTTGAAATTTATGTAAATATTACAGGTGTAATCGAGATTAAAATTTAAAACAAAAAACATGTTTTTTTTATTTTATAACAAAAGAAAATTACAGAATCACTATCTTGGAACGGCATTATGGAATGAAATAGACTTTGGTAAATTAAATATATGCAACAGCGCATTTACATACATATCAACAACATTAAGAATAAGATCAGTCTGATCACATCTGAATGAAACAATTTATAAAGTATTTAACTCTTTCTTTAGAGACCATATTATTTTACCAATCAAATAAAATTCAACCTGGTTTACAATGGCAAAGGGGACTGGGTATGGTAATTAAACATTTACAGTACCAATTATATAGCAATTGGAAACAATGTAAAAACATGCCTTTCATTTGAAAAAAAAATAGAGGTTTTCATGAACAATTTAATGATTATCAATCTTAATGACAATAAATGACGGAAAATTTTTACAGGCTGTAATATCACATTTGATTTTCTTCTACAAATAATCAAACATATGCATACCATGTTAACTTTATGAAATATCAAATACGCTTTAACATGGTTTATATTAGGATGATAAAAAGATTACAGGCATTAGAGAATAAAAAAAAAGTTTCAGAAAACAATTAAGATCATTTTAATGACAATATCTACAGTGTAAAAGGAACTAAAGTTCTTGTGAGTTAGACACATTTACTTAACTTACTTAACTATTCTTGGTTCATATATGTGTCAATTTTTTACTAATTAATGATGAATTTTAGATAACATGCAAGTACTAAAGTTATTAACAACTTGAAAAGCTTTGTTCGATTACGTTTTGCTTTCTATTTTTTTATTTAGCTTTTTTTTTACCCGATAACATACAATTTAGGTATTTACGTTTCACACATGAGTAGATAATTTTACAACTTAATTCTTTGTTGACAAACTATGACCTACATTTTTGTGAACATGTGTGATTTAAATCGTTTCTCTAACGATAAAGGGCACGAAAAATAACCCAAAAGGCACTCATACGTAAGGTCTACGTTGTTATCTTCCTTTGAAAATAAGTAAACTTTGTACAGTGTAAGAAAAACGTAAGAGACGAAAAGAGACACATGTATTTAATTTTTTATCAACCTATTCTTTCTGATTTTGGTCCAGAAAGTACTTAAACAATTTTAAAAAACCTCAACTTTTTTTTAGTATTTACTCAGAATTTCACGATTCTACTCTTGGAAAGATGATTAAAGCTTTATATACATAATCAAACATTATCAGTTAAAACTAGAATTTTCAGCATTTTTTGTCAACCAGGAGTCCAGTTATGCATACAGGCGTACAACGTATATTCGAAAGAAAAGAAGGAGGGATTTGAAAATGGTAAAAGCCTTCAATGTCTGTGTTTTCAGTCTTAGGCTTCTGGAGTGCAATCCTTATGAGTTAACGGTTTCTATTTCAGTTAATCTAGAAGTAAATTTATCGTTCTAAAATTTAGTTGACATTTGTTACCCTCCTCCGTAAGCATTAAATCCAATCCATACAAAGAACATACGTCAAGGTTCTGGTAGATATAACAGTGGGTCACCTGAGAGTCTGGCATGTGTTTTAAATGCACATTATCTTTTTATATATATGGAAGTCAAGCTTTCTTTTGCACTGTTTTAAAATATTATAGATTAAAATCACTTTACTTATCACAACTTATTAACAATTTAACAAAACAAAGAAATTGCTTTTATCTCGAATTCTTCGAATGGACACGGTAATTGTAGAAATTCTATATTTTCAATCCAGAGAGGCGCCAGTTCAACGATCCAGATAATCTTCAGAACGGACGATGGAAAACACGAAGAGCTATGAACTCTAAGAAAAACAAAATCTAATTAGAAAAGGGGAATTATATCACATGCATTAACCTGGCTTGGAAAATTGGAACTCAAAATCGTTTGTTTTGCATGTTATATATTTAAAGACAAATGTGGGTATAACGAACATTATCCAAACCAAAAATGACACTAAACAATACAAAATAGGAGCAGAGCAAAGACAGACTTATAAAACATCAAAAAAGAGATAAGGTGCTTTGGAGGAGTGTACATCCACTGCCGACCGGTCACACACGCTGTGTGCTCCTAGTCATAATTTGGAAATAACGTATAACTGTGTAGATAATAAACTAACAATTAATAAAAAAAAAAACCTTCAGTCAGCATTTGACTCTATGTTAAATTACATTTGCTGACAGGGTAATCGAATCGGCAATAAAACTGGTCTGAAGTAATGATGACTTTTAAAGAGACTTTTGCTATTTCTTCTTTCGTCAACTTATTTGTTAAGTATTAGTAAGCAAAAAATTTGTAAAATATATTTTATTCACATTATTTAAGTTTTAAAAAGAAATCATCCTGGAAGTACTTTATTAAAAATAGGAATATTTCTAGAAAATCTAACATTGATTGGTAAAATAACGTTGATTGGTAATTCATCCAAAATGACTCATTAACCAAATTCATTTACAGAAAATAAGTCCAGCAAACAATCAAATGATGGTTTTCAATACTTTTAAGAGGGTATAATCGAAAAAAACAGTATTCAATTAAATACGTGTCACAATCAAGTCTATTTAGAGTTAATCCTCAAGTTATCTGAACAGTCAAAATCAAAAATGAATAATATATTGCATTTACATGTAATTTGAATAACCTGGATTTGATTTTTACGACAGAGCTATTCAATTCAAAAATGATTTCCTTTTTGCCTAATTTGTGATTCCATCACCCTGGGTCCTAACGTTTTGTGTTTTGCATTGATTATTAGTGAACAGGCATTATTTCTTTGAAATTCTTCTGATGACCTGGGTATATCTGAGGCAAATTGTGTAAAAATGTAATAAGCCATGGGTGTTTGAAGGATTAATTGAATAAGAGTATTATTCATTATTTTTCATTTACGTACTGTTTGAATTATTTCTTTAAGTTTAAGTCCAACCGGGAGTTTGAGCGTAGATGTTACATACAATATATTTCATATTTTATTTCCTGACTGCGCCAGGAACCCCTGCCGTTGAGACATAAATATTCAAACGAAGGGAAGAAATTAAATATTTGTGAATAAAATTGTTTACTTTTATTCGTTCATAGTGTTTCTCAAATGTAATTGCCAATTTTTACCAAAAGACATTTATTTAAAAAAAAATTCTCAAAAATTTCCTAACATCGCTCTTCTGTGAAGTGAGAATATGTAAGTAACAAGAATCACATATAAGATCAAGGAAAATGATGGTGAAGCAACATTTACCTGAAACTTTCATTTAAATGATTTCTATCGTTATTTAATTCTATTCATCTACGTAATGCGTCGCTTTGATTTGCAGCGGATTAAAAATTTAAAGTGATATTGATATTGAACTCTAACTTCAAAGTGGATATATATTTCTGTTTAACATAGCATGAAAACTAAACATACTTTTACAAGTGGTGTTAAGTAGAATTAGATAAGTCATAAGTGTCGTTTCTTGAGGCGGAAATAATATTACGAGAAACAAAACGTGACTCATCAACTTTACAATTCTTCTGCCCATAAGTATATTTAAAAGTTTTTTTTTTATTCATTTGAGGTTTTGACCAAACGAAATCCTAAACTGCGGTATGCCTAGATCATCAAACAAAAGTCTTACATGTACATTTTATGTAAATGTATGTCTAAGTTGTTGTCGTATGTGCTCATCAGACATTTTTTTCTGCTATGAAACCTTTTCATGAACAAGCTTAGGCATGCCTGCTTTAGGTGAGTTTGTAATGAGAATTAAAAAAAACTATTCCAGCTGTTTGTTGTAAAACACAAAAATCGTTAGACTGATTCAGTACAACAAGTCTTTAATTAAGTCTTCTTTTTTTCAGAAGCAAACAACAAAACCTCTATCTGTTGATATTTTTTTTCCGCTCATTGTTCTTCTTTTAAACTAATATGGCAAAGGTAGGAAATGCTCTTTTGCTGAGACAGTGATATTGAAAAGTCATGATTATTATTCACTAAATATTATATTTACGTGATGGATTATAAACAGTTTTTGCTCACAATGGTACAAATATCAAGGAATTTCCTCCAGTTTTATAACTTTGAAATTCCATGATTTGATTGATTGAGAAATTGTTGTTTAGCGTCTCTTCCAAGAAATTTGCACTCGTTTATGGAGACGCCACACACTTGCCGGTAGATAGCTGCAAATTTTGCCCTATCCTCGGGAGGGAACTTTTCCTTGCCAGCACTAACTGCGACACGGATCCTCGGTTTATACGGTCTCATCCGAAAGACCGGATTCAACGTCACACAGTGGAATAGCCGTGTTTCGAGTTATGCCGGAACACCGTTTTTATTCGATTTTTAGTCGCGTCATCACAAAAATGTTCCCCATCGTAACTTCCGGTTTCATAACGAAGTCTTGTAAAATCTATACAAAAACTTGAAAAAGCGGAATAGCACAGTGCATCAGAAGAGTTATGGCTGAAGACATAAATTTCTTTTCCTGGCTTGTTCCCGATTTAAAGAACTATCTCCAGGAAAGGGGAATTCAGTGCAGTCTGGCGAGAAAATTGGATCTTGTTCGTCTTTGTGAACTCGCTCACGAACTTAATCTTGAGGTATACCGTATACGATACATCATACATGTATCTATTAATATTTAATAATGCTGTGAAATTTAAGAATAAAATACCACATAAACTGTTGAATTGTTCAATATTAGAATATATTTACTTTTTGAATCACTTTCATAGTACACTACAGCCTGACAGCTGACGAGCTGTAATATCAAAACTCTTCTTTAGATATTGACAGCGGATTCTCATGGTGAATATGTAGACTTCGATACTCGACACAGATCAGTGAACATTGGATCAGAGGTGGTAATATTGGACCAAGTCAGCCAAGTGTCTAACTGGTATGATGTGTTGAAATTTTCAAAATAGATAAGCTTTAGAATTAATGTTCCTTAAACATGTTTAATGTGGAAGTTACTTTAAGTTCAATCATGTTAATACTTCAGCTGATTCGAATCTGACGAAATCAAATCTACTGTGCAACTCGAATTGCTGAAAATAAGCTGAACACTGCTGATGCCGTGATACTAATAATTACGTCTTATTCATTTATCCATTCTTTATTTCCTCATAATATGAGATTAATTGATAAAATTATTCAACATATAAAACCCCTGCATCCCTAGTTAGGTGCTTAACAAATATTGAGCTACCCTTACTAATATCCACAGTTCAGTTAAATCATTACAAATCAAACATATAATAATAATTTCATAAGCACAACAACTTACAGTTAGAGAAACATATAGGCAGCAGAAAGAAAAATAAATCAATTTTAATATTGCAGCTAGGTATTTATTTGATTAATTGAAAGTATTAAAAATAAAATTGGAAGTTGAAATAGTTTTTAAATTAATGATTTTTTATACAGGAACAAAGATTTGTCACAAATACCAGATGTGGAATCTTTTGATGTCTTGGTTTACCTTACACAGAAGTGTGGGTGGAATTCTGCACGTTTATCAAATTACAAGCAGGATAATGGTTATCGTCTTCATATGGCAGGACATATTGATGATGTACAGGCATCATCTGATTTGATCCCTGGCTATATGTATGTTAAGTGCAAATGTGTCCCGGAGACCAGACAATCTGCTCAGCCATATGAATCATGGATTCTGATAAGGATGCAGTCTGGAGAAATTGTATCAGGTGGATGCACCTGTGTTGCGTACGTATTCCTAAAGTTTTCATTTTAAAGCTATTGATTGAAAAACTTGATTTTCGAGTACATGTAACTTTAAGGAAGTTTTGAGGATGATAAATTTTGAAGACCTTAATAATTTTGAAACATTATGTACAGATTTTCTAATTTCTTCTTTTTTTTTACTACAGAGATAATGGAGCGTGTAAGCATTGTGTTGCTTTCATTTTCTCATTGTCCAGTTTTTGTGAAAGGCACAGGGACAGAAGTACAGAGGCCTGTACAGACATACAGTGCGTTTGGGATAAGCCAAGGAAAAAGTCAGTACCAAGTGAAATAAGCAATATAGATTTGAGGATTGACCAGTCCCAACAACCATCCATTGTACCCACATTGTGTAATTATGACCCAAGGGTACCAGCTCAAGAGATACCATCTCACGAAAAAGATTTTTATAATCTTTGTAAAGGTACTGATGCTTTAGTTTTGCAGACATTATACTCCGAGGAATTCGACAGTGAAGATGATAGTGAGACTGTTCTTCCTTCTATGACTGATGCATTCAAGGATATAAATAGTGTTGACATTGATTCAGTTACAAACAAATTAAAAGATATTTTTAATTCTAGAGTAATAAGTGAAATTGAAGAGGTAACTGTAGGTCAAAACCAAAATTTTGAGTGGTTCGAACACAGAAAGGGTAGAATTACTGCATCACTATTTTCATCAGTTAAATGCTTTAGATTTACAGATAATACTGAAAATTATATTTCAAAACAGATAATGGGAAAGACAACAAACAGATGTTCCCCTTCTATGTCATTTGGTTCATTGAATGAACCTGTTGCTAGGCATCAGTATTTTGAACAATATAAACAAAGTCATAAGCATGCTGAAATCAGGTTGTGTGGTTTATTTATTGATCCTGATGCCCCTTATTTAGGAGCTTCCCCAGATGGCATAGTGAAATGTAAATGTTGTGGAGAAGGATTGTTAGAAGTAAAGTGTTCATTTGTACATCAAAATAAAACTCCCAGGGAAGCATGTTTGGATGACCACTATCATGTCCGTTTAGACGAAAATGAAAATGTCCAATTGAAAATAGATTCTCCTTGGTACATTCAAATACAGGGACAATTAGGGGTGTGTAAAAAACAGTGGTGCGATTTTGTGTTTTTTACCAAGAAAGGTTTTATTGTTGACAGAATATATTTTGATGAAGTTTTTTTTAAAAGCATTTTTAAAAAAGCTAACAATTTTTTTATGAAGTACATTGTTCCTGCATTAAAAACAGATTGAATTGGAAATTATTGATAGGTACTTACCTGTATATTTTGTAATTATGTGTATTACTTGTGAAGATTTTTTAAAAGTTCATTTTGTCATGAAACATTGATTTTAGATGTAATGTTTCAACATGTTCAATTTATTTATTCGTTGGTTGTATCATTTTTTCCTATGATAATTGTCTATTGAAAGTTCAAAGAAAAACACCTCAATTTTATGACAATATCCAGACATATAGCATACTTGTTTTCGAATACACACAGAAATTCAGACATCTAAGAGAATTGGCAATAACTTTCATCATAGTGTTGAGTATTAAATCATTATACATGTTCATATAAAGTAGCTTAAATTTAATATTTATACAAAAACTTTTTACTGCTACTTTCACTTCAGGACCGTTCATGTTTGAAACTCAGTAGCACTTATAATACATGCAGTATACATGTGTACCGGGTATTATAAATTACATGTCATTTAAAAAGAAGATAAAGAATACTTAACTTTCAGTCAATAATTTTTTAATGCAGTACATCTCATATATTTATATAATATACATTGTATGTCGAGTTGTTTCTATACAATTATTTGAGATTTTTTTAAATAAACATTGAACAAATCTGAAACATTTTCTCCCTCATAATAATTACTTCTTAACAAGTGGTTTTTGAAGATTGCACAAAAATGCACATACAGTAAGAATTTGATTGGCTACATGTTTTAGATTTAGTGGCATGGTGTTTGACAAAATTTGAAAAGTTTTCAATCTACCAATAGCTCTCTCTACATGAATCCTAAAGTGAGCAATATTCTTAGTCTTGATAATGTCTGAAGCAGACAAATGCTTGCCCTTACCCCATGCACATTTCCTAGTAAATGGAGGAATGATCAGCTTCGCTCTCTTCTTAAGAAGAAGGTCTCTGATGACAAATCCACGGTCGGCCATTATTTCATCTCCTGGACGCACAATATCAAGGAAGCCACATTCTTTTGTAATATGCCTGTCAGAAACATTACCACCCCATAAGTTTGAAACAAAAGTTATTGCACCTGATGGAGATATAGAAACAAGAGCTTTAAAGGTATTGTGCTGTTTGTAAGTACTAAATGTTTGAGATTGTGCTGTAGGGTTCCAAGGTCTCATGATAAAAAACTCGGTGCAATCGATGATGCTGGTCACATTTGGAAATTTGAGTTTAAATGATCTGGGTCTAAATTTCTTGATTACTTCCTGAGATGGCCATTTAATAAGAGGGGAAAAAATGATTGCCATGTAGTTTATCCACGTTGTGAAGATCTGGGAAACTCTTGAAGAAGAAACAGCAAACAAATCTGCCAGTACGAAATTTGTCAGGGTCATACGCAGTCGGATGAGAGTCAGGAGGAATTCTTGATACCGAGAGAGTTTTCTTTTTGGTCCAGTCTTCCGTGTGTAAGGATCGGTTTGGTAGGCTTTTGGTGTTGAACTGTTTTGTCCACCCCAATACTTTAATTCTGGTGATGATTTGTTCAGAATATCTGTTAAATGAGATTTATAGTCCATGGCATTATTTTGATGCACTCCTAGTTGGCTTCAACAACAATGAACAAATTTGCAAATATTTTTTAACAGCTGACTGAATAATTATAGAAGAAACATATTTCAATATGTGTACATGTATTTCTGTAAAAGTCATCACTCATGACATGATATTTACCAAATGTACCATCAAGAATCCTCTTTGATGGTATTCCCGTGTATTGCTGTACACTTGAGTCGCTCTTTGTCACCTTTGCAATAAACAAATCTCTCAGAAGTGTATCTGGATCATCAAGCTGTTTTGCTTTTTGCTGCAAATTGTCTATATCAGTCATGCTGAAACCTGTCTGAGTTGATGCATCTGCGTTACTGTGTATGATACGGGTATGCTCTCCATAGTCATGATCTCTTGAAATATCTTCTATATAAAACAAACACCAATATTGAGGATACTTTAAGAATGTAAATACCAAAAAAATCTGTTTGATATTAACCATTTGTAATTTTGAAATTAACTGAGGATGTGAATTCATTAATATCAATTAATATAAGACATAAAAGAACATTTTTATGCACCTGGCCATGGGTGGGAGACAGATGTCTCCATATCAGAAATCACACATTCACCTGCAACAGGCCAACAACCATTTAATTCTCGGGAATTCATGTCATCAGCATCAACCTGAGACAAGAAAAGAAGCAACAATTAAAAAAAACATTACACCAGTACACATGTAGGGTCTACAATACATGACAGTAATGTATGCAATATTATTTTTATAATTATATATTTGATATGATTAAGTGTAAGCAATATTAGAGGGCGGAGCCCTCTCACGGGCCCGAAGGGCCCGTGAGAGCGAAGCTCTCCCTATAGGTAACACGTATGTATATGAAAAATAAAAGAAATCTATTGTAAACTATATGTCATTTTCAATACCTATGGAACTGAGATTCTTGTCGCCAATATGGCGTCGTCATAAAATGGCGTCGATTTTATCCACGCGCAAATTCTCGTTGTTGATGAGACTTTCATCAAAGTAAAAACATTTAATCCAAGGATAATGTGTATTAATTCTTTTTTACTTAAAATCAAAGCCATTAGTAATCAGCCCTTCCTACTTTCGTTTTAGACGTTTAGATTTATTTATAATTCGCGCTAACAAGTAAAACGGGATTTGATTGGTCAGAATTTCCCTAAAGGCGGCGCCGTCGTCTGCACTATGGAGGAGCGGATCTACCTGTGGCCCCTTTCACAAAAATATCCTTATTTATTTGTTAAATAAAATTTGCCAATAATAAATGTCTTTAGGATTATACTTGTCAATACATACCAAGCTAGAAATATAGGATTTTTTTTGACAGTATAATTTTTTGAACAGTTAAATTTTTTTTTAATAAAGTGATAAAATAAAATACCCTGTGAAAAGTCTCACTGGAGACTCAATAAGAGTGTGTGGATTTCTTTTTTTCTTTTCCTTTTTTTTTTTAAGGTATCCAAATTATTTATGAATATCTACTTGTACACGGAAACATAAATATTTCATCTGAGCAGATCTATGGAAGTCTGAATCTCATTTTTGTAGTGATTTTTTTTTAAATTTAATATTTTATTTTATAAAAATTTTCAAATGACAAAATTTCAGTTTCTTATAAAGATCACTATCAAAAGAAAAATTTAATACGATGTATGGATTTAAAAAATTCAAAAAGATTTTTTTTGATAATTGGAATTACATATAAAGTCTAAATTAAAGCAGGAAAAAATATTAAGTTAAACAGTGTATAATGTACAGTCTGGAGAAGTAGTTGTTCAGTCTAGTAGTACATACAACTTTCAGTACATGCATTAAAATATCCACAAAGTTTTACGACTTCAAAGTAAAGTGCATGCTGTTAATGTATTGTATACATACCTATATGTACACTACAATACTCAAATTTAATACACATCAAGCATATTAATATAGTTTTCAATCCAAATAAATGTGCTTATCTATTAAAAAATGAAGCAAATATTCAGAATCTTTGTTTGACATCGATAAGATCTATTCATAACTTCTCAAAAGTGAACTATTATTATATTCACAAGTGTTGGTTTTGAAATGATAATTTTTAATTTTAAAGTTTTTCCCCAGACATATAACTGTTTTCAATACAATTATGTTAGATTTAGAAAATTCTGAAGACTATATTTAAATCATATTTTAAAAAAAAATGAAAGGTGAAAGATACATTTTTCATTAAAATTAAGAAAACAATATAATTCATGGGTTATTACAAATAATGTAAAATAAAAAAAATAAATAAAAAGAAAAAAGGTATGTCTCAACACGGACGTAGTATTAAATTTCCCTGATCGTGCATCCTTTAGTTTGCAAATTTTTTTCTCATAAAAGTTGTGATGCTGTTATATTTTCAACTCTTGTGATAGTAATTAACACAGTCAAATTTGGTCTGATGATTAGATTCATCCAGGAAGTAGATCATCTGCCTGTAGTTTGGGTCCCAAGTTCGTCTTCTGATCTGGTCTTGACAATAATATTGTTCTTACTTTAGATGACATCATAACCATGTAATGGGAGTAATAACAGTTGAGAAATGACTTGAGGTTTCTAGATAAGTGCACAGTTGTTAAATAAGCATATAAATCAAGTAGTGAAAGATAAAGAATTGGGGCTCAGAAAAGTTTATGAATTGATTTTTTTTATTAATATTTATTGGATATACTAGTATTTTGGAACAAGTTTACAGTTATGTGTATAACTATTAAAGTTTGAAGTGTCGTTGGACCGAGGTGTCTCACATTTCTTGGGCCCGGTATGTTGAACCCATTACTGGTCCAATGGCCCAATGCATGCCCCTCTTTTTTCCCACGACGTTCTCCGACTTTAAGTGCTCTGGCTAGACAACCATTCATCTCATGATGAAATATCTTGCATTATTTGAATGAAAAGTAATGAAGTACATGTAATTGTAAGAGATGGGAAAGCTTTTTTTTTTCAAGAGAAGTGAGTTCTTTGTTATGATTTTCTGACACTGACCATAGACCTGCATGAAGCGAACCCTTTGCTTTAGTTCTATATATACATTGACAATTTCAGAATTTAACTGATCAACTGATTTATCATTAAACAATAAAATGTAGCAATTTTCTCTTCACGGCTCCGCCCTCACCAACGGTCACACCGTCTAACATATTAAAATTAGGAACATTGAATGTCAAAACAACTTACTACATGTATTACTGGTGTAAAGTCATTATCACTGCAATCCTCCTTACCCAGTCAGCATTCATATATTGGCCCAACGTTGGTAGAGTAACGGTCTGTTGGGTCAAGGTTGGTGTTGGTATAACATGATTGGGCCAACATTGGGCTAATGTTAGACATTTTGCTCTTAGTGGCAATATCAGCATATATCAGTTATTCGTTGTTGGGCCAATGTTGGCCCAATGTATCTTAATCTCACATAAGTTGTCGTGATAACATACATTGGTTTTACATTGTTGGGCCAACATTGGCCAAATGTATGTAATTTTCACAGAAATTACTATCTTAAACATTGGTTCTGCATTGTTGGACTTACGTTGGTCCAATAGTGAATACTGAACATAATGAACATATGCAGGTGTACAACGATTGGGCCAGCGTTGGAAAGACAGCGTTGGCACAATGTTTCAAACTTAGCATAAAATGGTTGGTCTCGTGTAGTTGGACCATTATTGGCCCAATGCAAATCTTTGTCAAAGATATATGGCGACAGCTGAGAGGATAATGTTACTAAAAGGTTGATCATTTATGATTATGTAATACTACACACGTGTGACTGGATCAGTATACATTAAATGTACTCTATAATAAGTTAATAACATTAATTTTGTTATCTGGCTATATCTTTTCAGTGCCTTACCTATACATTTTTAGTTGGACCAACTTTGGCCCACTGTGTCAAATGTGTACTGCATAAATCATGTAAATATGTGTTTATAAATTGATTAAATGTTGTTGTACTAATGGTAAAAAATTACATTTCCTTAACTAGTTAATCAGGTACATATCTCTATATTTTTATGCCAAGGTATAAGGCTAACACAGCTGGTCCAACGTTGGCCCAACGTTTATATCAAACTAGTGTTTTAAGTACTTTACCCAACAATTTTCTCTTTTTCTCCCTGTATTATGCACACACATATATCATAATGTTGTGCAATTTTTATATTAAATAAATCTTCATGGGTTTTATTGGATATCATTAACGTATTATATATCATATTGGGGGGAAAATACATATGCATGCATATCTTGGCTATATATGCACGAATTTATATTGTTGCAAATTAAAAAAAAAAACTGTTTCCCCCTGTGAAAGCCAAAAAGTAATACTGCATACAAACGTATCAATTTAAGAATTTTAAAAGAAATTCTTGGATGTGGGTCGAGAACATTGAAGAAGACACATTAAGTGTAAAGCCAATGTTAGCATTGCAGCTGTACTTGCTATTCCACTCTTTGAAAGATGTCACTCCCAGGAGGGCAATAAATTAAGTTTTTGAGTTAAATAGAGGTCAGCCTTCCTCGCGCGCAAGATGTAGAGAACAAAGACAAAGAACTGAATTTTGTTTGAGGATAGACGCAGTTAAAGCAAAATGTGAGTATTTCTGATTTTTTTGTGCATGGGTATTTTAAAAGGATATTTTCTATCAATTATCATAACACAGTGGAACAGATTTTGATCTACAATGTAGCAAATTCGATCTGTACATGTATGCATGTTCTTTATATCTTTATATCTTTATCATTATATGTGATTTTTGGTTTAAATGTTTGTATGTGGGATAAATCTAAACTCTTGTCCTTTAAAGAAATATATACACTGTATATATAAAAATTAACTCATTAAAACGCGCAACGCTCCATTTTACCACATGCATGGGGGAGGGGGCGATCATTGTTGATAGAGACACGTGCATGCATGTATGTATAATCTATTTAAGTGATATCATTATCATGTAAATCTATTTCCTTGTCTACAAACTTTGAATTATGGTGCTATAAATACTACAGTTGTATAATATTAGTTCCCTTAGATCAGTATTCTGTACTTTCAATAAGGTCTCAGACAAAAAAGTCCTAAAAAATTGTGCAGCGATCTCGGGTCTTTCCGATACTAACCGGAAAAGTCCAAGTATGTGTGATTCCCAAATACATTTATAATTTCTTATTTCTGTGTCTGATACATTTTAATTTTGTAAATAATCATATGACATTAAACCGACCCATTATAAACAGTACGAATAAAAATAGTTGAAATATTTATTGAAAAGCTATGATAATATCATTAAGCATTTAAAAAAATCACATGGTACATTTTCGGTAAGAAAACGGGGAACAATCAGAGGTGACAATGCGAAACAAAGTGTACGGAGAATAATGACTTCAATGATAGACATTGGTGTTGCAAAGAAATGAACTGGCTAGGGAGGGATGATAATTAAGAGAGCATTTTCCTTTTTCTCATTGAAAGATGTGTAGCTGTGTGAGTATTTTTTCTTTTTTACATATCTTAAAAATATTATTTTATACTCCCAATATATACTGATCTTGGCTTGTTTGTTTGTATGTGTGTGGATTGACAACTTACAAATTTAGTTAAACAGGAAAAATATGTCTAATTGTCAAAGATCAGACATGTGTCAAGGGTAATGCATCAAAGTCACATTAATTTATTGAGCTAAGATTACAATTTTTTCCTACTTTTGACATAATGTTGCACAAATATCTTGTCATCAAAATGATTGCAAGTAAAGTAAACCAAAACACATTTGTATTTTAATTTGTACATTAGTTTATCTAACTTTGTGTAATATAATGTTTAGAATATTTTAATCCAACATAAATTGTGTAAATACCGAAACAATATTTTTCTATCTTACTTCTAAGGGCAGATCACTCTAGTGACATAAAATTACCCTACAAAGTAGATCTCTTCAAGGTATCACACCGGTAATTGTTTTCACTATATAATTCTATATAGAATAAAAAATCGTTAAAAATCAGGTATTTGTTTACATGAAAAAATATTTAGCAGAAGGTGTTAAACATTACCTGTCACATTAGCTGACACCAAAAAACAGGGTACCCACACGGCATTTTCGGACTTTTTCCATCTGCAAACAGGGCTACCCTCAAATCCACGTGTTTTCACTGTGTTTATAAACACCTCGAGTGCACTACAGGAAGTAGCCTCCTATGCCATGAAAAAAATAGTTCCTGTCTAAAACCTTTATTTATTCACAAAGTACATAAAATTTACTAGGCACAGGTACCAAAGTTGTAAAAGTGGCATGGAAGAAAATAGAAAAACGCCTCAAAAGAAAAGAAAATTAATTCTATATATATGGACCTACATTTGACTAAGTTCATTTTGATTGGTCAATTACCGGTGTGATACCTTGAAGGACCTTTGAAGGTGTTCGATTTTTTCCATTTTTGCACCTGAGATTCATGAAATAATTGTCCCCAACATCCCTAAGTCTGGTGATCTAAATCCCCTTATTTCTGAAGATATGAAGCATTTATCTCCCTTACTCCAGAGCAGTCAAGAACAACACACACAGCACTCTGGAAGCAGTTTTTTGTGCATCTTTTGAAGCAGAATTTCACCATTAAAAGAATAAGCTTGGCAACCAATTTTTTATCCGTGGAGAGTATATGCTTTGTTCTTCACCACAAACAGAAAAGAGTTTACAAGTCTAAGACCATTATGTAATTATTACATAACAAAGTTGCATTTTCCCCTTCAAAGAATGAACAAAAATACAGAAATTGTTAAATACTGGGTTGATAATGAACACTGTATCTGGTCAATTTATGTTCCAAATAAAGCCTAGGTATGTGTCTACAAGCTGCTGTGCAGAAGTTTATCTAAATGCTGTGTTGAGACTCAGGGCAGTCAAAATGATATCAGCATCTAGGGAGGTTCTTCACAGCTCCCACACTCCATTAAACTGGCTTTGATGATAAGAAACTGGAGACAACAATTCAGATGTAATTTATTGTTGTGATTTATGCAACTGGCTTTCTCTTAAGACACAAATTAGCCATGAAATTTCAATTTAACATGCATAATTATTCTCTTTTCATGGATTTATTCAGGAATTCCAAAGGTGTTTAATGAATTTCCATGATTTATGCAAGATTATATCTTTTTGTTTCAACAAATTTACATAAAAAAATGAACATTTAGATTTTAAAATATAAATATTAAACATTTTAATGTGTTTGAACACTTTTCTATGAGACAAAATGCATCACAGAGACCAGATTCAGGACATCCTCCATGATTCTTTGAGGTGGGTGGGTGTACCAAAACTGTTGATAAAATTTATAGGAAGTGATCTGAGAAGAAATGTGCACCTTATTAGCTGAATTATAGTTATTCTGATATTTCAATTATGTAAATATGCCAAATTTCTTCATCAGTTAAATTTGGAATTTATTAATATTTCAGTACAATGATATACTTAGTAGATCATGCTCATATAAGCATCACTGACTGAGACTTAATTCAAAAGTGACAGTCAACACCTACATATAAATGAAAAAATTACAAAAAACAGTCTCCGACAAACTGAAAAAACATGAATGTCAGCTGCGAAAGCATAAATAAAGTCCTTAGAACCAACAAAGGCATGCCATGCTGCTAAGTGACATTCTGAACTACATGTATGATGCATGGTTAGAACTCAGAATAAGTATTATCATGCAGACCTTGACAGTATTTCAGGATTTTTTGGTCATAACCTTCCTTACTTTGATAAATTCTTAATGAATTTTACTAATGTAGCTTATGTATTAAGTTTATTAGACAGATCTGACTCATTTCATTATTTCTGTTCTTCCAATGCAGTAATGTATGTATCACTGGAGGTCTGAATAAATTAAAATAAATCATGTTTCTGTAGAAATTATCATTCTGTGAAAACATTTTTACTTGTTTACATTTTATCGCAGTTGTCGCTTATGCTAAAAATTCATTCGCAAACCTAGAATTAGTCTATTCTTGAAAAATCAGCTTTAACACCCTTTACCGCAAAGTCTGTAGACAGCTATAATTGACTGCGGTCAGCTGGTGCAAATAATGTTAAGTCATATAAAATGAAAAAACAATATTCTCCGACTTCTTTCCACATTTTAGATGCATAATGCTACCTTTTTAGTCATATTTTAAAGTATTGAGTGTACAATATAACCTTTTGTTAATTTTTAAACAGA